CTGTCCGTGAAGAGGGTCCAGATTCCCGAAGAAGTCCCCGAGTTAATCAATAACTCTCTTTCGACCTCGGGTATTAAGGTCGGCATAAAGTCGACCACGAAATCTTCCAAAATTTATGACTTAACGGCAGTCCGGGACCGGTACTCAATATCGTAACTACTTACTTCCACGGCCCATTTGGCCAATTGCCCTGAGAGTTCGGGCTTATGCATAACGTTCCTTAACGGGTAAGCTGTTACGACACATATGGGGTGACATTGGAAGTATGGTTTTAATTTCCTGGAGGCGCTTAGTAAGGCGAGCGCCCATTTTTCTAGGTGAGGGTACCTAGTTTCTGCCTCACCTAAGGTCCTACTAACATAATAGATCAAAAATTGCGTACCTCGTTCTTCCCGAACTAGGACTCCACTTACTGCTATCTCCGAGACCGCCAAGTACAAGAATAGTTATTCGTTTGTCTTTGGTGTGTGAAGCAGCGGTGGGCTCGATAAGTATCTTTTGAGCTCATCCAGAGCTCGTTGACATTAAGGAGTCCATGAGAAGTTATTCTTATTTTTCAACAGTGCGAAGAATCGGTGGCTCTTATCGAACGACCTCGAGATAAATCGCCCTAGAGCGGCTATGCGCCCGGATAGTCTTTGCATGACCTTTACGTTGTCTACGGCCGTGATATCTTGTATGGCTTTGATCTTGTCGGGGTTGATCTCGATTGCTCAGTTGGATACCATGAACCCGAGGAATTTACCCGATCCAACTCCGAACGCACATTTTTTCGGGTTCAGCTTCATATTGTATTTCTTCAATATGCTGAAGGTTTCCTGCAAATGTTTTAAATGATCCTCTACTCATAGGGACTTAACCAACATATCGTCAATGTAAAATTTCATTGATTTTCCTATTAGTTCTTCGAACATCCGATTTACTAAGCGTTGGTATATGGCACCAACATTTTTTAATTCAAACGACATTACAATATAACAGTATGTGCCATATTAAGTGATGAAGGAGGTTTTTTCCTGATCACCCAGGTCCATCCGTATTTGGTCATACCCGGAATTGGCATCGAGAAAACTAAGGATCTCGTAGCCGGCCGTGGTATCGATCAAACGATTGATGTTGGGCAAAGGAAAAGACTCTTTGGGGCATGCTTTATTCAAATCTTTGTAATCTTCACACATTCTTAGTTTATTCCCTTTTTAGGGACTACCACTACGTTTGCTAACCAATTCGAGTATTTAACCTCCCGAATTGACCCTATTTTAAGGAGTTTAGATACATTGTCCTTGATGAAAGCTTGTTTGACCTCGGACTGAGGCCTCCTCTTCTGCTTGACCGGATTGATTTTCGGGTCCAGGCTTCGTTTGTGAGTGGTTATCTCCGGTGGGATCCCTGTCACATCAAGATGGGACCACGCGAAATGATATATATTAGTTACAAGGAATTAAATAAGTTTTTTCCTGAGCTCAGAAGTTAACCCTGTGCCCAGGTATACCTTCTGATCGGGCAGATGCTTGTCCAATATAACCTAATCCAGCTCTTCGACTGTTGATTTGGTTGTGTCGGAGTCATCGGGGATTATAAAAGATCGGGGGACCCCGTAATCATTGTCTTCATAAGTCCCCTGCTTATCTGATTGGGTCGTGGCCGGTGTCGGTGACTGCTATTTGGCCTCTTGGTTTGTGCCTGAATTTGGTTCCCCCGATGTTGTAAGTGCTGATATTAGAATAACTTCTTCAACTGCAAACATCTCTTTTGCGGCCAGTTGTTCCCTATAAACTGTCTTAATCCCTTCCGGAGTAGGTAATTTTAACACTTGGTGAAGAGTTGAGGGCACTGCCCTCATGTTGTGGATTCACGGCCTTCCGAGAAGGGCGTTGTACCTCATGTCTCCTTCGATCACATAAAATTTGACCTCTCGTATGGTTCCAGTGATATTGACCGGTAATGTTATCTCCCCTTAGTGGTTTCACATGCCATCTAGAACCCGTTTAGAATTCAAACTACATGCACGACTTTGTCTCATAGACCGAGCTGTTCCACGACCCTCGACCGAATGATATTGGCCGAGCTACCTAGATCAATCAACACACATTTAATTCGAGTTTTATTTACGAGTACAAATATTACCAGTGCATCATTGTCAGGTTGTATGATCCCTTCCGCATCCTTGTCGCTGAAAGATAAAATTCCTTCCGGTATGTAGTCTCGAGTTCGTTTCTCCCCAGTGATGGATACTTTGGTGCGTTTTAACATCGTCCCTTGTGGGATGTTGACTCCACCGATGATCATATTTATGATGTGTTGAGGTTCGGTATCTTCTTGTCCTGTCTGTTTGTTAGAATCCCTGTTTCTAAAGTGGTTCTTGGCTCGGTCGCTCAAGAATTCTCAAAGGTGCCCATTGTTGAATAAACAGGCTACTTCTTCTCTTAGCTATCGACAATGTTCCGTTCTATGACCGTGAGTTCTATGATATTTGCACATATGGTTAGGGTCCCTTTGAGATGGATCTAATTGTAGAGGTCAAGGACATTTGGTATCACTGATGCGCCCGATAGCAGATACGATGGCGGCAACATCGATATTAAAGTTGTATTCTGATAGCCTCGATGCTTCTTTAGGCCCGATGGACATGTCAAAGTTGTTTTTCGTCATGAGCCCCTGGTTGCTTCGACATTGATCATTTCTTCTGTCGTTTCTTAGGGGTTCCGCCCCGACCCACTGCTCCTTCGATCTCCATTATATGGTAGATATCGATCCCTGTTTGATCTTGGTTCATGATCAATATCTCTCTTGACTCTGTCGAGGGTTCTGATGGGATAAATAGACTCCGATGGGGAACCCGAGTTGGTCATCTTCGACTCTGATTTTTGATTGATACCGGTTATGTACATCTGCCCAGGTAACGGCATGGTATTCTATCAGATTTTCTGCTTCAGTTGGTGTAAAGCCACTGAGCTCTAAATATTGAGTCCCTGAGTGAAAGCTTGAACAGCCCAATCATCAGCGACGGGCGGCAAATCCATTCATTCCATTTGGAAACGGGACACGAATTCTCTGAGCATCTCGTTATCCTTCTGTTTAACTTTGAAAAGGTCCGATTGCCTAGTTTCGACCTTGATTGCACCAACATGTGCTTTCACGAAGGAGTCTGCAAGTATAACAAATGAATCAATAGAATTAAGAGGTAAGTTGTGATACCATGTCATAGCTCATTTTGACAGGATTTCCCCAAATTTTTTCAGTAGAACCGACTCTATCTCGTCGTCTTCCAAGTCGTTCCCTTTGATGGCTCACGTGTAAGAAGTTACATGCTCGTTTGGATCGGTCGTTCTGTTATACTTAGGTATTTCAGGGATACAAAATTTTTTGGGGATTGGCTTTAGAGCCGCATTCAGGGGAAAAGGTTTTTGCACTAACTTCCTGGAATCCAGTCATTTCAATATCGGAGGTGCTCTTAGGATTTGATCCACCCTGGAATTTTAGGTTTTCACCTTTTTGTTGTTCGCCTCGATTTTCTTTTTCCCTGATTCTATCCGCTTTGTCAGCTCCTCGATCATCTTTATAATCTCGGGATTAGTACCCGATTCTTGTTCATTTGACCTTACTATGACCAATTCATTTATGAGGGTGACCTCACGGGGCGGATCGGGTTCAACCCTGCTCGACGTCTGGCTTTGGCTCTACAACTGAGCTATCATTACCTGTTGAGCTTGCAGCATTTCGAAGATCATCCGTAGGATGATCCCGTCTTCTTCATTGTTTTTGTGTGTTTCGGGTCGCCGATCGGGTCCCACCACGAATGCTATTTTCGGGGTCGGTAGGCAAGTTGGTGTAGATCGCCACATATGAATTAACATCAATCGAATTTGCGATCGAAATTCCAACGGGACCAGTGGGTGGCCCTACATTACCGGACGCTATGTTATTATTCTCACCCTGATGACTGGACCCGTTGTCGATATGCAGGGGTGCTAATTGAGAGTTTGACATTTTTTTTCCTGAAATCAAAGATACTTCAAAGAGCAAGCGTAAAGTAGTGTGTGTTATGAAGATTTGTATTAAATAACCACTATTATCCTTAGCCCCATGGTGAGCGCCAAACTGTTTCCCCTAAAAATCGGATAACAATTGAATTTGTACGTGGTTTTAAGGACACGTGATATAATTTGATACAGAGTGATAAATCACATCAATTATGGAAAATAAAAGATAGAAAGGTAAATGCAAACCACACAAGTTTGAGCAACCCTAACCTTGTGAGATTAATCTCCCCCGAGCCAGAAATAATATAACTGATAATATTATTGATGTTGAAGTGCAATGGACTATGACAAAGATAGAAACAACAGTATATTGCCTTTTGATATAAGTTTCAATGTGTTTTATGAATTGTCAAGTCCCCCTTATATATTAGTGGAGATCTACCCTTTGAGATATTATTTTATTGTTCTATAAAAGGCAAAAATATTTGATTTGCTGACCGTTGGTCCCCTTTTTGAGCCGTTCCGTGATTTTCGCCATAATGATTGGTTAATGGCGACAATTACGGACCCCTATCAGATGAGTTGGCAATCGAGACCGTTAGGAACAAAATCGGTCACGCATTTGGTAAACTCGAGGGTAAATCTGATGATTTCGATGGCTAATTTTGATAGTGGTTTGGGTTCGATCATAATTAACATGTTCCGATCTTTGAGCTCGACTTCACACGATCATACATATTTCGGCCCTGGCCTAATCAAGGAATTCGGAAGCTCGATCGAATATCGAGCTCGATTTTACCCATATACACACACAAAACACCGGATGCTAATCCCTATTTCATCCCGTCGCTCTAATATTATGTGTGACATGCTCTATTGTCAAACAAAGTATAATTTTTAGATTAATTTTGTTACTGTAAAATTAGTATCAAAAAGTGCTGTAACATGTACAATTCGGTATTGGTATTTACGATTGATTTGCGATCTCATCTTAACATGTAGTACAGAGTAGTATTCTGCAATTACGGAAAGAACCCGTATGCGTGCAATAATTATCCAAGATGGGAATAAATTTTCCCAAGGCCAAAATGGGGATTTAGTTTACGCCGATCGCTCCACGTCAACAACCGACGGGCAAATCCACCGACTACCTGAAAACCAAAGCCATATCCTCTACCTTCACCCTCACCCTCACTCATCGAATCTCTCATTTCCTCTCTTTACGCATCTAAACAAAACCTGTATATTATGTATTCAGCTGCGAATTTCATTTCTAACGTCACTTAGATTCAGATGAGAGGGCGTGATCGGATCAATCAAATCCAAATCCTGCCGGATGAAATAATTATAGAGATTTTCCGGCAGCTGGAATCGAAATCAAGCCGCGACGCATGTGCACTCGTCTGCAAACGTTGGCTTCGTCTCGAGCGCCTTAGTCGTCTCACTTTACGAATTGGTGCTTCCGGCTGCCCCGACGCCCTTGTCAGGCTGCTCGCTCGCCGCTTCGTCAATGTACGCAATGTATTTATCGACGAGAGACTGTCCATTTCTCTCCCGGTTCAACTTGTAAGCCTTTGATTTCACTTTATCACTTTTTGTTATCTTTTAATACAACATCTAGAATAGGTATTTCGAGTGTTACTCCGAAATTGATGGGTGTTAGATGTGTATTGCATTGCAATCGGGAACATTGAGCTTAAGAATTCTGATTGTACTCTTAATGATTTGGAAAGATTTTTTTTTTTGTTTGCCTGACAACATTTTTCATTTATGTTGCTACTGTATATTCCTTTCTAAATATAACTGGTGAAAAGACTAGGTTTTTGGTATTTGAGGATGGAAACTCAAGATCTGGCTCAGGAATTTAAAGTTTAAATGAAGTTGGGAAGTGGAGATCCCAATTTCTCATGTCAATCCTCATTTTCTCACATGAAATAAAATCAGATTAGATTATGGTAGCTGAATTATGGTGCTCCATACCAAGCCTTTGATGCTTGGTTCTATGCGATGCAAATATTCTTTTGATCAATGAGACAGGATATTATATACCAGATGGGCACCACCAAGGTGCGGAGTCAACATATGGCTTGACGCTCAAAAGAATGAAGGATATAGGACAAAATTGGCTAGGATCAAAAGAACCAATGAGCTGTACAATTAATTCCTTCTGCCCAGGCTTCGTTATACCGAAAAAAGAGTTATCTGAGGCAAGGATATTTCAGTTCAGGAACTGGTTCTGGCAAGTTCTCAATGCATCTATAATTTCTCTCATTCAGCGAGGTCCACACGAGGCAGCGAGAAGTTACTGGGCATATTGTTTGTGCCAATTTTCATTTAGCTAATAAGCCTGTCAGGGGACCATAGTCTACTGCTTATATCCAATTTTCCTGCTGTTTGTCCTTGCTCCTGGATTCGATGCATGTTTGAACTGAACAGAGTTACCGATTCAATGTCAAAAAGAGAGAAACATAGATGAGAAATCCCACTGCATGACAATGAATTAAGAGGTGATCAATAAAAACTACTTCAGTGATGCACGCAAATATTTTTTACCCAGCCTTCTATCTTATGCAGATTGTCTATATCAATTTCCCCCCAAATCCAGCAATTGGAACGAAGATATTGCCCCAAGCGATTGAATATTGTAATGAAATGTGTTAAAGTGGGAGCGGAATGGACAATGACGGTTCATATAATCAATCCCGACTAGCTTGACATTTGAGGCATAGTTGTTGTTGTTACAACTTTATTCTTTCATACAGATCTCCAAAAGGATGAAGAGCTATCAGTCCTGTTAATGAAAAGTTGTAGAAGATCAAATTTCTGGTTCAGAAAATATAAACGGCAGAAATAAAAAATCCACCGTGTAAAATTTTTGACTACCACATATTTCATGAAATATGTGACAATTAAAAATATTTAAATGAAACAAAAAAGAAAGAAGAAAAAATGATTGCCCGACACAGAAAATTTGACCTTCGAGTCATTTGTATTTTCTGTGTAACTCACCCGTATTTCAGTTATTTAATGTGACAAAAAGATAGTTTCGTGACTTTACTGCTATTGGGTAAAGTTTAGTTATTTTCATGTGATAAAATAGTTTTATGACTTTACTGGTAAGGTAAAGATCAGTTACCATATGTGAAATTAACTTGTAATTGAAGATGTGTATTAACTTCAAATTGAAGTTGGGTATCTCATTGTCGTGTGTACTTGATATCATTGATTGGGAGTATTAAATTGCTAATGATTTTACTAGCAAGCAGAGTGCTGTATATCTTGAGACAAGCACCTAGTATCTCCTGTTCCACACTTGTTAGGATATTTTCCAGATGGTGCTAGACATTGTGTACTGCAGATATTTTTTTGTGCTTCAGTGGAAGCTACATTCATCATGAACGTCGAACTTACTGTTTGTTTTGTACGCCCGTTGCAGGGAAGAAGACGTGGCACTGATCATTCTGTGGCTTCATCTCTCAGCATCCACTCCCTGGCTGAAACAAATGGCTCGGAAGACAATGAAACTGAATCTTACTGTTTGTCAGATGCTGGGTTGGCTGCTGTTGCTGCTGGCTTTACTAAGCTTGAAAATCTGAGCTTAATATGGTGCTCTAATGTGACACATGTGGGGCTGAGGTCTATAGCTGAGAGGTGTATATCCTTGAAGTCTTTGGATTTACAGGTAAATATCCGGTCTTTAGAACTTTGGTTTCTTCACATGTTCAATCTGTTGATCTGTTTCAAGCTGTATTGGGATCGGATGATATGATGTGCGTGATGGACCAAAGGTCTTAGAAGCTTTCTTTTCCTGTTCCTTTTAAAGGGCTGTTATGTTGGTGATCAAGGTTTAGCAGCTGTTGGGGAGTTCTCCAGGCAACTTGAAGATTTGAATTTGCGATTCTGTGAAGGCCTAACTGATGCAGGCTTGATTAAATTGGTTGCTGGTTGTGGTAATACATTGAAATCGATCAGTCTGGCTGCCTGTGCAAAAGTAACTGACACCTCCTTGGAAACTGTCGGATCTCATTGTAAATCTTTGGAGTCCTTGTCACTAGACTCAGAGTTTATCCATGACAAAGGTGTACTTGCTGTTGCCCAAGGATGCCGTCAGTTGAAGTTTCTGAAGCTACAATGCATCAATGTTACAGATGATGCTCTGCAAGGCGTTGGCACTTGCTGTTTATCATTGGAGTTGTTGGCTCTTTACAGTTTCCAAATATTTACGGACAAGTTAGTTGTTTATTCTATATTATCTTTTCTATTTGGATTTATTTTTTTTTTACTTATCAGCAACTGAAATATCTAAAAGTTTACAAGCTTGAGTATTCTCCTGATCATAACTTCTATTTTCATGTAAGCTTTTGTATGTATATCTGCATCCAAGGCCCTAAAAAATAATTTCTTTTTAACTGTTGGCTTTTCTCAGATTTATGCAATCTAAATATCTAGTCTTTACATTTGAAACTCTGTAACTTGGATGAAATTGTGTGTGTGCATGTCTATCTTTTTTTATGGCAATACTTGCTAGGGGAAATTTAACAAAGTATGTGTTAGAGGGATGAGAGGTTTTCTCACAATCTGACCTATATCTTTCTTTATATTCCTTCAGGAGTCTGTGTGCTATTGGTAAAGGATGCAAACAGTTAAAGTCTCTTACCTTGAATGATTGTACTTTCTTAAGTGACAAAGGCTTAGAGGCGGTTGCAGTTGGTTGCTCCAGGCTCACGCATCTTGAAGTTAATGGCTGCCACAATATAGGAACATATGGACTAGAGTCTATTGCAAGATCTTGCACGTACACTTTTTGCCTAGCTCTTTATTTTGAGTTTCTTTAAACCTTAGTGTTGAATGTTAGCTATTTAGAGGGGGGAAAAGACCTAATGTTGAGTGTTTGTTTGCCTTATCTCTGTTCACTGAAATCAAGATAGATTCTTGTAACCTTTGTGTTTCTCGAAGGTCATGTTTGCTGTGCTTTGCTGAATAAGTGTGTTTATCATGAAAAACCCTTCTTTGAGTATTTGGTAAATGTTTAGAAGTACACTTAGAAGTTTTGAAAAAATAAGCACTTTAGATGGAGCTAAAAATGGTGCTTATGGTACTTTTGCACCTAAAATGTAGGCGCTATTTTAATAAAAAATTGCTATTCTATCAAATAGAAATGCAATATTCTTGCTTGAGTTTAATTCTGTAAACTAAACGAAAAAGTGCTTCATAGAACAGTTATAGCAGATCAATTATGGAGTGCTTAAATAAGATTTTGAGTGTCATTTTGTTTAACAGTATTTTGGAAATTATTTTCTACATAAGCTGTTATCCCAATTTAGACCAAATTGATTTCAGGTATTCCAAAGCTTATGCAATAATCATACATCTCAAAAAAGCTTATGCTATAATCATATTATTCTATTTCCATCAGAATAGGTACCTCATAGGGTGTATATTCTTCCGAACTTCAAGGGATGGTTTCATCCATGTTTACAGCTAGGTTCTGAATCTCTTGACTTGGAGAATTGATGCTGAAAGAAAATACATTCCACAACCTTCAAACTGTCTTACAGTATGTGGGCAGTAAAAAATATTTGTGTTCATAAACGGTTGGCAGAATTTTCACTGTCTTTAATGAGCTTGTGTCTTTTTTTCATTGTAGAATGTCTTTCTTTTCCATCACTTTTTTCTTTAAAATGAAGATACAAAATTAATCTATTATGACTAGAAAACTGTTGAATTGTGGTTGATTGGTTCCGCAGATTGACCGATCACTGCTGTTTGCATTGTACTTGACGCATCTTATTATTAAACCTTATGACATTCATGAGTCTTATTCATTACTTGACATATAGTTTCTACCTCTTAAAATTCTGTCATGGCCCTATTTTGAGTTCTTTTTTCTTATTTTTTTATATGTGAGAAGGTCCTAATTTGAGTTTTGGCTATGCAACTAGGCATCTCTCTGAGTTGGCTCTGCTGTACTGTCAAAGAATTGGTAATTTCGCATTGTCCGAGATCGGAAGAGGGTGCAAGTTCTTGCAAGCTTTGCATTTGGTAGATTGTGCGAGCATTGGGGACGAAGCCATATGTTCTATAGCTAGAGGATGCTGTAACCTCAAAAGGCTCCACATCCGTCGATGCTATGAGGTACTTTAATCATCTCGCTCTCCTTCATTATTTCCTCTTAGATAGGGCTTCCCTTCTTGCTCTTTAGTCTTGTTTAAATCACAAGATACCTTTACATATGCATTGTTGCATATTGCTGGAGGCATATATTCTTTTAATCAGTAAACGTTAAAAGATTTCATTGATAACCAGCACCAAGATGGTGCTGCACATGTACACTGGGGACCCAGAAACAAGATCAGAATCATTTTAATTAATTACATCAGCAGACGAAACAAGAGCATTCCTCCAGGCCTAAAGGGTAATATGAACATATCAGATTCAGATTTTTGTTAGCGGACATGTTTCTGCTGCGTCTGTAGATTTGCTTACTGGTTTAAACTGGTTCTTAAAGTTTTGTTCTCCCTTTCTTTTTAGTTGGCGAAGATAGACAACTTTTACCTACTAATATTCTTGCAAGTATCTCAATGCTTTTGAAACATTGGGCTTTCTGCTCAATGAATTTAAAATAGTATCCGATTCTGAGTTTGGAGTTGAATCTAACAGCTATCCTTTTCTTTTGTTCGCTTGGTAATGTTTTCAAATAATTTAATGCTTGTAATTGGTCATTAGCTGGTGAATCTTTTAGACAGGCTTTTTTATTATATTTTCACTTTAGCTGTGGAATGGGGTTTCCTGTAGAGGCATGTGCATTATTAGTATCCGATGTGGAAAACGGTTTTTGTTTTCAGCGACTGTTAATTGTCCCTAAATCTTTTGTTAGTGAAATCTGGCTTGTGCAGTATCCTTTGCACTTGATGCTCAGAACTCAGTTATTTTGTTTGATAATACTGGTCTTTTCATCTGGTTTGATAGGTTGGAAATAAGGGAATTATAGCTGTTGGTGAGAACTGTAAATTTCTTACAGACCTTAGCCTTCGGTTCTGTGATAGGTATGTCAGTTTTTCTTTCTCAACTAACGTTGCCTTAGTTTTAGTTTGTTTCTCAATCAAGTGTTCTGCTGATAAAATTGGGAACAACCTCTCCATTGCTTGCACTACTTTCTTCTTCAATTGTCATATAAATCTGTACTTGAGTGCTCTTTGAGATGAGCATTTATCCTTTTGGACATGGTAATGTTTGTATTGATGCTCTGGTGCTGCAAGAGGTTGCTTGTCCATTGAAGATGAAGTTTGTCTAGGCACAATTTTCATCTTCTTTTAATGCTTCCTGGCCCCGAGTCCCTTGGAAATGTTCCACATTGCGAGGTTCAGCAAATAATTATATTTAGTTGGTCCTTGCCTTCACAACTTCTCTTTCATTATTGTTCATCTGTTATATTCTTCTACGGCAGAGAGTTTAAACTGCTTTTTGATCAAAGGCTCGCTACTTAACGACCTGATTACAGATGTTTTGGGTCAAATAAGTCATTAACCTCTGTTTGATTTACAGAGTAGGGGATGAAGCACTTGTGGCTATTGCTGAAGGTTGCTCTCTGCATCATTTGAATGTAAGTGGCTGCCACCAAATTGGGGATGCTGGAATAATAGCCATAGCAAGAGGATGCCCTGAACTTAGTTACTTGGATGTGAGTGTTCTCCAGGTATGTCCACTTATACTTCTATAGAGTGGGATAAACAATGGATATGATGCAGAGACCGTATGTGTATGTTTAACATGTCTAGGTTCATTTGTTAACTATATAAATTGATTTAAGGTGATTAGGTAACAAAAATATATTAAAAGGTCTAGCCTAAGTTGGTTGCTTACTTACGAGTACCACCAGTTGATAAGTGGATTAGGAATCTTTATTGATTAGCTCCATGTATATCCCACACTGCACACGCACATATTGCTTCCTTATACAAGATGTTTGAAGGAGCAAAAATTGTTGCTAATCTTCATTCAGCACAGGACACTGACTTACCAAATTTTGACAGGATTTGGGGGATATGGCCATGGTGGAGCTAGGTGAAGGATGTCCTTTGTTGAGGGATATTGTGCTGTCCCACTGTCGTCGAATAACAGATGTAGGTTTAAGTCATCTTGTTAACAAGTGTACCTTGCTGGAAACTTGTCACATGGTCTATTGCCCCGGTATTACTGCTGCTGGAGTAGCCACAGTGATCACAAGCTGCTCAAATATGAAGAAAGTTCTTGTTGAGAAATGGAAAGTGAGCCCAAGGACCAAAAGGAGAGCAGGATCCATTATTTCCTATCTCTGTGTTGATCTGTAGATCTCTTTACACTTGTTACTACTCTACTTCTTGCAGCCCCAATCAACAGCAGCAGGGTTAAAGCAGACTATCCCTGTGAATAGCCAGTTTAAGGTACAAATTACCCGGACACACAGAAGGCGTCTAATGTCGTGACAGTTTGTCTTTTACTTTTACATGTGTAATGTTTTTTCAGTATTTTTTTTTCTTCAAATCTCACAGGAATGTGTTTGTTGATTGACTTATTGTAGAAGGTCACTCCATCTCTTGTTATTTTATTTGCTTATTCTATTCAAGGTATGGGGTGGGAGTGCTGCTTGTTCCCTTCAGATGTGTAGGATAAAATGGTCAAGGCAGCCATGCTTGTGCTATGCTTTTTCAAGGGTATGCTGCTGCCAAAGCCCATTTTTGTCTTATGGGTCTTTCTGGCATTCGCATAGATTAAGTGCAGAGATCTGAATGCATAATGTAGATGTTGCTTTGTAGTGGAAGAAGCTGATACGGGAGCACATTCTCAAACAACTCTTCCATATTTTGGCGGTAGATGTTCTGGCTTGGGATCATCTTGAAAAGATGTTCTGTTTGAAGCAGCTCTAGAATTGGATTTGGAGGAGATTGGACCACTACGTGCAAATCTTTTTTCGATCGTGTGTAATGTCATGGGCGGCTTTCCAACCATGCCCCATGACCCCTTGGACGCGCCCCGTGGCGTCCTGGCCAGCTTCCCAACGTCCGTCGCCACGGTCGGCCTCGTGATCTCGGCAGCTCCAAGTGACAAGCGCACAAGTGACTCTGTCGCCCTACCGATAGCCATTGCCAGCGCACAGCCACAGGCAGATGCCAGCAGCGCCGCGCACGTAGACAATGCCGCGTGCCCAGACCCTGATGCTAAAGACAAAGTTGCTGCCAACGGACTTGTTTCTGCTTTGTAGAAGATTAAGTCCTTTTCATTGTAAATATAGAGTAGTTTTGCTGCATTTTCTTTAAGTGTGATTTTTCAGCTTTCATAGGTCTAGTCATGTAACTTTGGTTTATTTTTTTTTAAGCATTATTAAGGGGGAATCAAAACTTTCAAGCAAGCAAACAATTCTCTGTACTGGTGTCTCCCCTCCGACACCGTCTTGTTTTTCTGTAATAGCTTTCATTCAATGGAATCAAGCTTTCTTTCATTCTCAATTTATCTGTTCTGCTCTCTTTCAATTGCTCATGACATTGGTTTTCCCGTACGGCACTGACAATCTAGTCTAGTGTACGGATGGGACCTCAGTTGGCGGATAACAACCGTACTGACATCGATTGCTTAGCCTTACGTCGTCCTTCCAAGGAACCTCAGGAAGGCGTCGCGTAACAGTTGGTATCAAAGCCTAGGCTCGACATCGGACGAGGGATTACATTGCAATTACCATCATTTCTGACCATGGTGAATTATGAGGATCACATCGCGACCCTTGAGGGAACGGTTGATGCATTACGACCCATCGTGGAAATGGTGCCTAACCTAAAGACCAGCCTAGTGCAAAGGTTGGACGACCTGGACCGCAGGCTGATCCAGGCCGAAGTTGACATAGAAAACATCAGTCGCGACTCTGAAGGAGACCGGCAAACGACAGCCACAGAGGCAACCGAAATATTTGGTAAATTTGAGGTCCTCCAACAGGAGCGCGCCGATGATTTAGCCAACAGGGCACAAGAGGCAGACAGGGTGACTGCCATGCAACAAACTATAGATAACTTGACAGANAACTCTGGTGGCGGGTGAAGTACGAAGCCATCAAGGTTGGTGAAGATGCCCTCGAGACATGGGCAGAACTTAAGGCAGCCATACGCCTGCAGTTCTTCACCGAAAATGTTGAGTACAATGCTAGGAGAAAGCTGCGGGAGCTCCGCCAGACCAAATCAGTGCGGGATTACGTGCATGAATTCTCTGCGCTCATGCTGAACATCCGCGACATGGGGGACAAAGACAAACTATTCACCTTC